TTGGCTTGCACACAGCCTCCTGGTGACCAGTCTTTCTTTGTCACAACGTGACAGCGTCCCGGCCAAGGGGTTTTTATAATAGAAATTAAAGAGCTCGCCTAGAATAAGAAATGAAAACATGGTTAAGAAAATTTTTCAAAACAGAGATTGAGTTCGGTCTTTTCCTATAAATGAGTGTAATATTACATATTTAACCAGTGTGTGAAGAAAAGGATCCAGAACTAGAGTTTGAAAGTTACCATTATTGCTAGTGTTATTCCTAGTTTCAGAGTTACAGTTTATAAAAGTTATGAATTATGTCTGAGAAGGAATACAGTTATGTTTTGTTTTCTCTCTTCCTTTTGTTTTCTTATTTTTCTATAAAAAGCATACTTTTTCCCCCTAAAATATACTCTGTTCTTGAATTTAGGGTCTTTTTCTCAATATGTGCCCTTCTCCCGTTGCTTTGCAGTTACGGAGACTAAGCTGGCTAACTTAGAGAGAGAGCTGAGGAGCCTGGAGGCAGTACTGGACCGCATCAAAAAATGTAAGCCTCTTCCTGCCTCACTGGGTTCCCGCTCTCCCCTTGTGCTTGAGTGCTCTGGGTTTTCAGGAGGTGGAAGAGAACTAACAATTGTGTACACAGATTATATACCAGGACCTGTGCTAGGTTGGTAATTTCTCATAATATGGTTTCATTCTGTCCTCTCAACACTGCTGTTTGTGAGCATTATGCTTATTTAACTTACAAGTTAAAGGAAATAGGTCCAGGATTTACAGATAATTCATTCACCATCACCCAGATGGGAAGCAGTAAAGGAAAGCTTGCATGGAGGTCTGCTGCCTCCAAATCCTTGCTCCTTCCTCAGCACCCACTGTACTCAGATGGCTGTCCCTGCCCCTTTCTATCCTGGCATCCAAGCCTGGCAGCGGTGCCCACGCCTGTTTCCCTGTCCACCTGCACTGGGGCAGTTTGTGCAGGGGGAATGTCTCCAGGACAGGCTCCCCCAGGAGAGGCGGGGCTCTGCCAGGGCCTTCCCTACCCTGAGGAGCTCCCCCTCACTAGGACCTGACCTGAGGGGGTTGCACATGGGCTCCTTTTCAGAGTCCTGACTCCCCAACAAGGGCGTGGTCACCTACTGGCCTGGGCTCCAGGCCGAGTCAATCCCACCCATCCTTTGTGATTTCAGTGCAAACCTTCTCCTTGGGCAAGAGATCTGGAAAGAAGCTCTATGTGCCCAACAGTGAAAAGATGCCTTTTTCCAAAGTGAAGGCTCTGTGTGCTGAGCTCCAGGCCACCGTGGCCACCCCCAAGAACGCCGAGGAGAACAAAGCCATCATGGACTTGGCCAATGACCATGCCTTCCTGGGCATCACAGATGAAGCGACCGAAGGCCAGTTTGTGTATGTGACAGGAGGGAGGCTGACCTATAGCAACTGGAAGAAGGATGAGCCTAATGACTTTGGCTCAGGGGAGGACTGTGTGATCCTTCTAAAGGATGGGATCTGGAATGCTGTCTCCTGCTCTTACTCCTTTGTGGCCGTCTGTGAATTCCCAGCCTGAAGAGGCAGTTCCTCAACCCCTCCTTGGCTCTACTGAGCTCTCTGCTGCCCTAAAAGAAAATTCAGTGATGTGTTTCTCATGCCCAGTGTTGACTCATTTGTTGGTGGGGATGGGAGGAAAATGAAGGGATAGATTTGATTATGGGATTAGGGAGTAAAAAGAGGCTGACATAAGGGTTTCTGGTCCAGTTCTTGGCAGAGGACATCCTCTGTCTTGCGTAAGAGCATAGCACTGGGTCACAGTCACACCATGGAAAGGGCCCAGTCTAGCCCTGTCCTTTCTCAGGGAGGACACTGTGGCCAGCCACAGGGACCCATGGAGGGCCACATCTGTGTCAGTCAGCAGCAGATCTCAGCCTCCAAGAGATCCAATTCCTTTTGTCCAAAGCTGCCACCACTTGATGCACTTGATCCTTCCCCATGGCTAACCCAGTGCTATCTGTGACATGGATATGTCTTTAGCTGCTCATGTGCTGCACCAGAAAAATCTTTGCCTACTGTAACAGCTCGCAATATCCAATGTCCATGTTAGAAGTCCAAAGCTGTAGAGAATGTTTATAAAAGTTTATCTGAACTAAACAAAGGATACACCTGGAAGCCAGACAACAGCCTGAGAAAATGCTTCTCAGAATGACAGTTTTTAGCTTCCTTTTTGCACTTGGAAGTGAGGATGTAAGGGAGAAAACTGAAGGTGGAGGAAAGCCAGGCAGAAAATGGATTGCAGGGTAGGTGACGAGATTCCGTGCTCTGTTGAGGGTGGTTTCTCTTGAGGCATCTGCAAAGAGGCAGTTCAAAGGTGTGTTAACCCTTTTACTAAAAACACTAGATGCCTGGAGTGTGACTACTCACTGTGACCTGCCCAGTTAGAAATCTGTGATCAGATCACCCTGGGAGGTTACGTTCCATGGAACCCCTTTTGCTTCCACACCAACACGGCACCATGATTAGTCCCAGGAATCCCCAAGTGGCTGTGGCCTCCTTAGAGTCACCAGGGCAATCTTGAGGACAAAGGACAGCCTTTCCTCCCAGCATACTTTTAGGACTGATTTGATATGACCCATGCCAGCATCACTGAGGGGGGCAAAAGGTCAGGCAGACTCCTGACCTCCCTCTTCACAGGGCACTATCAGTCTCAGTCTGTCCGTGTTCAGTGTTCTCTTCCTCTAGGGACACCCTCATCCCATGATAGGTCAATGGGTCCACTATTAGTAGACTCAAGAGGAAAAACTCCCCAATGGTGAGCTTCACACCCTGTGGGTCAAATGATGCAGCATCAACCAGTAGGCGAACCAAACCCCCTCTGAGCAGGATTCTGATGCTGTGGGCGCACAATCCTGCTCATGACCATGCATGTTTGTAGCAATTTCAGGGTCGGTGGAGCTGAGATGCTGCAGAACCCATGCAGCAAACTGGGGAGAGAGTGAATTTCAGCTCCACTTTGAGGCCATTCACCAAATAAGATTGAAATATAGTTCATGAATATCCCAAAGGACACTTAATAAAATGTTTTTATTAAAATTAGTTTTCTATTCTGTTTTTCTTTGTATCTGAACTACCAGAGAGAGCACCATAAACTTAGGATGTGCTGGATGAGTATTTGTTGAATGGGTACACCCCAAAAATCCCCACATGGATGCATAGATTGGATCTGACAAGTGAATGTAGGGAGGGGCCTCTCCCAGGTGCCCTCCTTCTGCAGGACTGCAGGGCAGGGGTGAGAGGTGGCCTGGGAAATGCTGAAGGCTGGCAAGGTAGGGGTGACAGGGCAGGACCTGGCCTCTAGCACACCGAGACTGTCACATTTCTGTGTTTTCAATCCCAGGAGACTCTCCTTCAAGCACTGCACTTGGGTGCAATACCAAGAATAATTTTGTGATGTCGAGCAGAATAATACTCTATTTTCAATTAAAGTCCATTCTGCTTACCAGAGGAGTGGGAGACTACTTCAAGTTTAGAGGCACCTATCAAACCAATGGTCAAGGCAAATAGAAAAAGGGAAGAACAGAAACTTTTAAGAAGAAAGGAAGATACACATACGATGACTCAGCAAAGAAGGATTACTGCAACCAAGCATGAAAGTTAAGGCCTAAATTTTCTCACAGCCAAGAAAACCAGGAGAACACGGACTGGTAACCATCATATAATTCTTTTTGTTTTCTGTAAGGGGTAGTGGGATTATGTTCTCCCCTGAAGAGAATGTCTTCATGTTTATACAGTGCATAAAGGACAGTATCTTTAGATATGAAATTGTAGAAGACAGTCATGTACTTCACATAGATTGTTTCCCCATATGAATGGTTGCCCCCTAGTTAGGGAAACAGTAAAAATCTACAGGATAAGCTCAAATTCTTCCAATCCCCTTCCAGCCTTCTCCTCTGCCTGTTCTTCCCCTGACCTTGCACCTGATACTCTTTTCAGAGCTCCTCTCTCTAAATGCATCTGACTGCCACCATTCTGCCTCGAACTAGGATTGAGGCCACCACCTCCCTGAAATTCACTTCCCAATTCTTATCAGCAATAGGGGGACCTATGCAAGTTAGCTCAGGTGAAGGAGGCATAAATCTAAAGCTACAGGATTCTCATGAGCGTCTAAAGATAGTAACTGCAGTTCATCCAGGCTTCCCAGGACCTGGAACAAGAGGGACATATGGATTCAAGGAGACTCTCCAGACAGCCTCTCTCACTCCCTCACGGGCTAAGGGCAGGCAGTTCCCTTCACCCAGGGATATACGATGACGACATCTCTTGCACAGGGGACCTAATCAAACCAGGGGCTCCAAGGACAGGCCTTTGGGCCTTAAGCAGCACATTCCCCTTGGACGTCAGGAATGGGGAGGACTGAGGGACCTCTTGAGCCCCGCTGTTTGCCGAATCCCTCCCCAGGCTGGCTTTTGGACCAAGAATTGGCAGGCCTATCTGAGCTGCAGTTTTTCTCTGCTGCGTCTAGCAAAGAGTGAGGACCCGAAGGTCATGGCTCAGTGCATTCCTGGACAGGAGGCTGGAGCTGAGACGTCTGTGGAGCCTGGGCTCTGACTCCAGGGTTGTGCCCAAGGGAGAACCAGGCCTGGGTGTCTGTGCCATGTTGAGGCTAGAGGAGAGGCAGTAGGTTGGTGGGAAGTGCAAGGTTATCATGCATCTCCCTGCCTAATGCTTTGAGTGGCATGTGAGCTCCCTGGGCCTCAATCTCTATCTAAATTGCTCTGTCAAGGCTTCTCCCTGCTAAAGCTGGAGGAGTCAATGGTCACACAGATTCAGATCCGTGGGGCCCATTTCAGGAGCAAACACTGCAGGATCTCAGAACTTTTCAGTCTTTGTTACCTGCCATTTTGTCCAAAGTCATTGTGGCCTGAACCGGATCACCTATTTCTCAAGTCCATAGAAAGCCAGACCGAGAAAGTTAGAATGGCGAGTCCACCTTGCTCTCAAGATGGGAACCTTGAATTTAAACTACATGTAAGTCAACGGTCTCCTGAGGGAGCATAGACCCAGCCAGTGTGATTTGCTTCTGCAACCAGAGGGGAAACAGCTACCAAAGCTTGCAGTGTTCAAGGACCTGCTCCAGCTGGGCTCTCTACCTGGAATTGCAGGGCCTCATGCCTGCAGAATCATCTTTCTGTGCAGCCCTAAGGCTCTGCTGTTCTCACTCTCAGCCATGCCCACGCCAGAGGATGGGGACATAGGGTACTGGCTAATGGCCTAGGATTTGCATTCCTCAGCCCTCCTTTGTGCCCCAGGCCACCTGCTTCCCTCTGTGTGGCCGTCAGAGGTCCACATGTGCCGGGTCACAGTCAGAGCTGGACTTGTATTTGCAGGTGGCAGAGGGCCTCTGACCTGGAAGGTTGTTTGTCATAATTGTGTAACTGACCTGTGCATTAACCTGCCAAGAATCAGGGATTCATACCCATTAACCAGGAAGAGACCCAATGTCATCATGGCGATGTTGGAAAGTGAACTTTGCAAAGTGATGTTGTCTTTGTAACCCTGAGTGCCACCTCATGTGGCTCTTCAGAGGGATGCCAGCAGAGCTACCTGGAAGGCTTGGCAGAGTCATAGGGTCAAGTTCGTTCCACTCTGGACCCAGTGCATCAAAAGCTCAGAGGCCATCACTGTGGTGAGGTCCCTAGGCGATCCAGATGTTTGGCCAGTTTTGGAAACCACTGCTCAAGGAAATACAACCATCCTAGCAGCTCTGTGCCTGCCTTTTATTTCACAGCGAGACCCAGAAGCCAGGGGGCCAGGGCTTCTCCATCCGTGTAGCCCTTCACAAGGTGAAGGGGGTCCTGCTTAACTCCACAGTGTCAGATCCCAAATAACATCCTTCAGCTGCTCATGTCCCACGAGTAAAACACAACTGCTGACCCAAATCCTTCCCTCTGCATTTCCAGGGTCTGACTGCCTCCTGGCTTCAGGCAATGGGCCTGGGTCTGGAACACCTCTGCCGAGTGTCAGAGAAGGTGAGGCACTGTGCAGGTGAACCCCTGATGGGGAATTGTGCACATGAATTTGCAATCTTTGTGCATGTGTGAGTGTGTGAGTTTCGGTATAGAAACCAGGAGACCCAGTGGTTGAAATTCCCAGCATCCTGCTGTTAGCAGCCTCAGCCCCTACCTCCCCACCCCCCCACTCCCAGCCTATATCCAGGTGCCTTACTATGCACACCCCTCACTGAGGAGCATTGGCTTCAGGTGGTGTCAGGGCCTCTGGGTGAGGTACGCACATGCTTGGTCATGGACAAAGTGTCCACAAGTGCCCTTGAGCTGAGCACTACGACCCCTGGGCTCAACAGAGATTGTGTGGGTGATAACATGATCCCCCTCCTGCAGGTCCTGGCTCTTATTGTCACTACTGTCCTCCCCTTCAAAGCGTTTATCTGACCATTGAATGTACGGCTATTCCAACCCCAGTCCCCATTACAACACCCAAGATTATTTTCTTATTGGCAGTTGTGGACATCTGAAATCATCCTGACCATTTACTTGTTGGATTTTGTCAGTGTAGCAAAGTCATTAAGAGGACGCTGGAGCCCTGGCTGGTT